CAGGTTTGGATTGGCTATCAGGTAGACAGTAAGAACTCAGAGAAGGGCCTCAGCTGCTAATATATAGTGTGGTATCATCTGCATACAGGTGGTGTTGAATGAAATCAGCCAGGGAGTGAGTGTACAAAGAGAAAATCGAGTTGGAGGCTCAGCCCTGAGAGACTAGTGTCAAGAGGTTGGGTCAAGGAGCCTGAGGAATGATGAGTACATAGGAAGCAAATCAGAAATAGAAAAAAAAAAAAAAGCAAATTCAAAAGGATCCAGCATTGATTGTACTAGCACTGCAGAGAAGACCAGTCATAGATAAGGAGAGTGAAGTGTTCCTCTAACTGGCAAATGTGGACATCCTCAGTGACTTTGAGAAGAACAGATTTGGTGTATGATGGGTCTGAGAGCCAGAGAGGCATGAGCACTGAATGGAAAATGAAAAGCAGATAATTCTTGAAAGTTTTGCTGGGAAGGAAGACTAATGACTGGGGCTAGTAACTGGCAGATGTGAGGTCAAGCAACTTTACAGTTTTTGAAAGTTGGGAGGTACTAGCTTATGCACACATTGGCTCAAGATGATCCTGTAAGAGGGTCTAAGAAATAATCCATGCAGGAGAGAGAGAGGATGGCTAAAGAAGAGTTCTTGGGCAGGTGAGCTGCGGTGGTAGATTCATTTCCCATCACTACCCTCACACATGACCACAAACATGGTGGCCTAAAACAACAAGCATTTATTGTGTCACAATTCTAAAAGTCAGAAGTCCAAAATCAGTTTCACTGGGCTAAAGTCATGTTGGACTGAAGTCTTGGATTATCAAGCATACCATGATGATACTCTCATTACCCAGATTCCTATACTGCATGAAATACGGTGTCATCTATAGAATCACTTGTCTCTTTACTAGCTGTTGTAGTAATCATTTTCATGATTTGAGAGCTTTTATTTCAAAACAAGAAGTTGATTTATTTGAACTGACAACCACAAATCTAGAATGACTTCCTGGATGTTCTCCATCTTACCACACATTTGAAGAACTTACTCACGTGAATGTCCACTAAGATAGATGAATTGAACCCCAAAATGTAGTTTCGAACCAGTCCTATAAACACTATGACTTTCTCAATTAATAAGATACTAGTAAAACCATTATAACTTTGTCAAAGTTAACTGACAGGTTAAACATACATTTACATGACATATCCATTTCAATTTGGAATCCAAGATGCTACATCCTCTATCATAGAAGAATTACTTAAAAGTTCCATGATCATACTTTAGTAAATGTCTTTTAGTTAGCTCCCTAGTCCCTTGGATCATCTCACTACTACTTACTACCAAGCTCACCCACACTACAAACACTATGGATGTTCAAGAACTAGAGACAGTGTGAACAATTTTACCAGTTATTATTTCAATCCTAATCACTCTCCCATTTCTGTGTGTCTTGTATATAATAGATGAAATCAATAACCCTTCATTACCTATAAAAACTATAGGTTACCAATGATACCAAATTTACAAATTATAATAATCTGTAGATTATAAAGGTATAACCTTTGACTCTTGCATAATTCCTATATCAGACCTTAAACCTGGAGAACTATGACTACTTTAAGTCCACAATTTTAATAGTTTTATCAATAGAAATACCTATTGTATGCTAATTTCATCTGACGATGTGCTCCATTCATGAGCTGTACAATCTCTAAAAACTGATGTTATTCCAGGATATCTTGACCAAGCTACTTTAACATCAATACTACCAGAACTATATTATGGTCAATGCTTAGAAATCTGCAGCTCTTAACCACGACTTTATACCAATCGTTCTCTCTAAAGGTCCCTGCAGAAGCTCTAGAAGAGGATCCATTTCCTTGTCTTTTCTACCTTCTGGAACTGCACACCTGGCTAATGGCCTCTTCTCTCATCTTCCAAGCAGCAGTGTAGCAATTTCATTCTCTCATTTATTACCTGGCCTCTCCTCTGTTGTCAAATATCCCCCCCTCTCTTATAAGGACACCTGTGATCATATTAGGACTCACCCAGATAATCTAGAGTAACTCCCTATCTCAAGATATTTAATTTAATCACATTTCCAAGTCTCTTTTGCCATCTAAAGTAACCATAAAAAGTTCTGGAATCAGGTTCTGGCTGTCTGTGGGAGGCATTGCTCTGGAGGACGACTTTGCTAGATAGGGTACTTACTTCCTCTTTTGTAACAAGAGGGGAGAGGCTGAAGGTGCTTTTTCAGGGCTATATAGAAATGGCAGTAAATCGATGAGGGAGAGCATGCTTTGGACTTCATTCTTCTCAGAGAGGTATGAGGTAAGGGATGGCAACTGAAGACGGATGGGGATGGGAGTAGAGGGGAACTGGAAGCATGGAAGCATCCAGAAAGAGGGACATCACCTGCCAAGGGGAAATGCAGTCAATTTCAGGGCAGGGGCCAGTAGTGACTTAAGTCTTCTCTTCACAGAAGTGAAAGGAAAGTGCTGCTTGATTGTGCAACTTTTCTTCAGCTGAGTTTGGATACGTGGTAAAGGCACAGGAAAAGCAAGAGAGATGGAGCGCACCAGTGTCTCTAAGGAGGGCATGGCAAGGCAGTAAGGATGTGAACTCTGGAAATGTAATTTGATCAAGAGGCAAGGAAGATGTGGTGGGCTGAGAAGATGGCAGCACTCAGTAGTGCACATGTCATAATGAGGGAATCCATTATAGGAGTGAGCTGCATGTCTAGTAGGGCTAAGCAGAGTAGGATGCCTTGGTATTGTCAGCTTTCTGTCATAGTAACAAAAGACCTTAGATTATCAACTTAGAAAGGTTGATTTAGGCTCAAAGTTTTGGAGGCTCCAGTCTATGATCAGTTGGCCCCATTGCATTTAGTACTGTGGTGGGGTAGCACATAGTGGCAGGAGTGTGGGATGGAGCAATACTGGCTCATCTCAATAGGAGCCAGCAAACAAAACTGAGAGGAAGGGGAGGGACCCCACAATCCCCTTGATGGGCACGTACCTAATGACCGAAAGAACTCCGAAAGAACTCCCACTAGGCCCCACCTTTTAAAGTTTCACCACCTCCCAATAGCACCATCCTAGGCCCAAACCTCCAATACATGGGCCCTTGGGGGACAGTCAAGATGCAAACCATAAGAGCTGCCAAAATAGCTCAAGGGGTAGAGTGCCTGCCTAGCAAGCATGAGGCCCTGAGTTCAAACTCTAGTACCACCAAAAGAAAAAGATGCAAACTTTAGCACCTCTTCTCAGATTATAGAAATGGTGCATATTCTGGTGATGAAAGTGCTAGGGGTCCCTTTAGGAGGGAATTACTGAAGAACAGATAGGTAGACCATGCTGAAGACAACAGAATTGAAGACAGGAAAGAAGTGGCCAGGAACTAATATTTAGTGAATGAAGAGAATGTCCTGGAAGAATGACAAAAGCTGGGAGGACAGAGGGTGCCATATTTAATGGCATTGAGTTTATGGGAACTGAGGGTTTTACGGTAGGAGGAAATGTTTTAGGATCAGTGGGAAACAAGGAAGGCACTTTCCTTTCTTCCTTATTCTTTCACACCTGAAAGACCTTGAAGGAGCTGCCAGAGATGTTCTACTTAGATGAGAGAAGTTGATGCTGCAAGAAGAGTGTATGGTGATCCTTTGTTGGAATTTCCCAATAACACAGTGGAAGGGTTTGGGGAGTATGAGGTATTGGGAAGCGTAAGGATTCAAATCTGGCCATTGCAGGTTATTGAAGAGAAGCCTTGGATTTCTAGCCACGAGTAAGTTTCACAGACACTGGAACCATGTCATAGAAGGCCCTGAAGGGCAGACCAAGGAATTTGTATTTTACCCAAACATGGGGCTAATGGTGGTGTGTTGGTTCAAGTTTGAACAGCAAAGTGTTGTAGTCAAAGGCAGGCTTGAGAAAAATTAATTTTCGAGCCATGTGAACAGAGACTCTTAGAAAGCTACTGTGATAAGGTGTTTAGGATTTATTCAGGGAAGGAACACTGAGAATGGTAGAAAGAAATGATGGTTGCCAAAAATGTGCTTGCTTTGATTTTTGGGACACAAGGGAAATGAGGGAGCAAATAAGAGGTGCCTCCCATACTTCAAGGGTACGTGGTTGATAGAATAGGTATTAAGGGAAAATGAATGCATTTGGTGTTTGGCAAAGGATGGTTAAAAGTTCACAAGTGGCTGAACCTAAGGCTGGAAGAGGATACTAACCCCTATTGTTAAACTGCCTCGGGTTTTCTGGACTGAGGACAATCAAGGACCAAGTAATTCTTCCTAATTTAGCTTCAGAGTCCCAAAAGGTATGTATGCAGGTGTGAGTTATAAGGCACCCCAGCCATCCCCAGGGCTGGTTCAGTCCGAGCGGAGCTGTTGTCATTCATTTTTGTTACCAGAATGAGTTAAGGCAGAACAGGACACCAGACAACGCTGCAAGGAGGAGCCTTTCTTTGTCTAGAGAAAAAGGCTGCTTTTGGCCCCCTTTTCTTTTCATCCTGAGTTAAGGCAAGAAGCTCACTTGGGAAGGGCTTTATCACCCCGCCCCCCCAATCCCCAGCCCAGGCACAAAAATTGCATTTCAGGTCTGGCCAAGAATCTGAGTCATTTAGGAGCAAACCCTACCACTTTTGCCCAACTTCCTACATTCTGCTGACAGCAGGTTGTTTCCCTGAAATCCAGGGGTCTTTGTCTGGGCCTAGATCAACTGAGGCTGACATTGTTCCCCGTGGCTTCTCTGCCTGGCCTCTTCGTTGTTCCTTCATCAAGGTTCAGTTGCTGTAAGCACGGTTTGAGGCGGGATTGGCTGGGACGGTCCCCGGGCCGCGGGAGCCATTCACTGAAGCTTCTCGGAGTGGGACACCCTCGCTCTTTCCTCTCCCCGCAGAGCGCTCGGTGCGCGCGACACGACCTGGGCAGGGCCGGGCGCGCGCGGGGAGTGGGAGGGAGGGGCGGGGCGAGGGAGGGGCGCGGCCTCTTTGGGGAGGGGCCGAGGGCGGGGCTGGCGGCCGGAGGCGGCACCGGTGAGGGGACCCGCGGCCGTGGCGAGAACGCGCCCAGCCCCGCCGCGATGCCCCCGCGCCCAAGACGCCTCCTCCCGCTGCTGGCCCGGCTGCCGGCCTTCACCACGCTACTACTGCTGCTCGGCAATGGCGGCGGCGGCGGGCGCTGGGGCGCCCGGGCCCAGGAACCGGCAGCGGATGGCTCCCCCGCGGCCGGCAGCGGAGACCGGCAGGACCCGCACGCCAAGCACCTGTACACGGCCGACATGTTCGCGCACGGGATCCAGAGCGCCCCGCACTTCATCATGTTCTTCGCGCCTTGGTAACTGGCCCCCGCCACGCAGGCCGGCCGAGCCCCGCACTCTGCGCCGGGCCGGGCGGCGCGGGCACTGCGGGTTCAGGCTCGGGGCCGGGAGGGTCGCGGGGTGGACACGGCCGCGGGCGGGCGGGCCAGCGGCGTGGGGCACGCGGGCTTGGGGCCGGGGACGGGGGGCGTGGGCGCTTCGGGGCCGGCGCTGGCAGCTGACGTGGCGCTCGGCGGCCGGGGCGGTGCGGGAGGAGGGGGCGGTCCCCGAGGAGGGGGCGGTCCCCGAGGGGACAGCCGGGAAAAGACCGTCCCACCCCCGATTCTCCGCCTCCCACCCCAGACCGGAGGGTAGGGCCAGGGGACTGAGGACGGGGACGTCACACTTCAGGGCTGCCGGATCCCCGACGTCACCCCGCCAGTCCTCTGCCTTGCGCCCCAAACTTCCTGTGCAGGCCGGACGCAGCGGGACCTGGGGTCCACGTGCCCTTGCCAGGCGGGTCCTTCCCGCTGGCCTCTCTGGCCAACGGCTTGACTTGGGGACAGCGGGCAAATCACTTTAGTGAGGGTTTAACTGAAAAATAACCCACCACGGTGTGATTTCCCACTTGGCTCGTGTTTCGTGGGTGGAAAGGGGTAACTAGTTAGAGGCTCCTGTGTCACCTCGGAAGCCAGGAGTAGTGTGAATTCTGGGGGCCCGCTGCTGCTTGGCGTGATATGAGCTGTGCCCTAGGTTGCCCACAACCCCACGCTGTGTCTTGCCCTCCTCCTTTCTACTTCTGGAGCCTGGGTTATTTGGAAAGAGCGTTGTAAAAACCCATACCTGAGTGTGTTTGGAGGTGGCCTGCTGCTAACCCGAGAGCCATACCCGGGGAGTCATCCTATGACACAGAGCATGCTGTGCCTTCCTGCCTGGAGGAAGCCAGGTTCTCGTAGGCCAGAGTAGAAAACCATAATCTTAAGGCACAAGGCAGTTTGAGGTGTGGGATCTGGCTGTGCTGATGGCAGAATTTAGTATTCCTCCCCCAGCTCAGGAGAGGCTCATTAGGGAAAGGGGTGTGGGAGAGGAGAGAAAAGTTACCAAGGAAAGTGGCTTATTCAAAACTGTTTGCTTTTGAAGTGGGAGAAACTTTTTCCTTTTAACTTTACAGTCAGGCTATTACCATATATCAGTTTATTTGGGGTTAAATCAACCTTTAGGGGCCAATCTGACTCATAACCATTATTCATTAATAATGTATGTATGGAATATATTGTGTTTCAAGTCTCCAAGAACCAGCAGACTTGAATTTTTAGAACTGCCAAAGATACAGAAAATACTTTGGAGCATAATACAGTCACTCAGTGTTAACAGTTACTCTGTGCAGAAATATTCTGAGAATAACAAGTCCAGTTAAATACACGGCTGTACTTAAGTGGGGCCAGTTTCAAGGGAATAAATCTGTTGGGTTTTTTTTTCTTTTTCTCTTTGTACATTTTTTTTGAGTGGGGGGACTAGAGTTTGAACTCAAGGCCTCAAGCTTACACTCTTCCTACTTGAGCCCCACCTCCAGTCCTTTTTGGTTTTAGTGTTTTTCCACACTAAACCACAGATAAAGTCTTGTGGTTTTGCCCTTGCCTGCCTCCAGAGCAGCTGGGATTACAGGCATGCATCACTGCGCCAGCTCCCCTACCCCGTTTTGTTTTGTTTTAAGAAAAATCGACATGTAGACATACTATGTCTGTCCTCTGCAGTGCTAACAGGGTTTTAATTTTGGAATATCTTTAGTAAATACCAGCAAGTCCTGGACTGAGAAGACTCAGTCTCTTTTTCACCACATGTGGCTTGTGGCCATTTAGGTGACTGCTCACAGAAAACATATTAGTTTGCTTACTAGTCTGTTAGAAATACCAAGTAGAGATATGTGGGTTTCTTTGGCGGCCTTTGAAATGTAAACTATTGAGTGATTTGGAACTCAGAACACACTGGGTGCCCCTACCCATGCTTCTATCTAGTTTCAGTGCCTGTGGAATGTTGGAAGCCCACGTGCGATCTGGGCAAGGACACCAATCTGGGGCAAGGATACCATGTAACTAAAACATCATCTGTGTATTTTTCTTCTGAACTTGGTGGCTGTGAATTTTGTGTCAACATCACATCACAGCTTTTCTATGGCCAGTTTGTGAATCACACTGAATCTAGTGACAGTGAGGTCAAGCTTAGGATCAGGTGTCATTGCTCTATCACTTGGCCCCAGACCACTTTCTGGATGCAGCTGGCTGTCTCAGAGGTGCATGCTATAGCCACAAGGGCCTCAAACCAGATGTGACAGCTAGATGGCACCTGCGGACACATGACTGCTGCTGGGAGGATGGTCAGGTTTCATTTAGTGTTAGTGAACTTTTTCTTTTTTTTCCCCTTTCCCCACCATCTCCCCACATCTCACTCCTCCCCACCAGCCACCTCCCCACCTCTCCCCACGCCCTGGCAGAAACTGCTCCGCTCTCCTGTTCTCCGATTTTTGTAGAAGAAAAAACATAAATAATAAAAGGAAGAACATGACGTTTTACTAGTTTGTGATAAAGGTAGCTACACAGGGAATTTCCTTGTGTTGATCCCATGCATATGTGTATTACAGCTCCAATTGATTCACCTCTTCCAGTCCTCTTCACTCCTCCGTAGTCCGCTTCCCATGGTGGATCTGGCCAGTTTAAGATTTCTATATTCATTCCTCTACACTGAGCACATAACCACGTTCAAGTAGTAAACTTTTCTTAATCCTCATTCTTAACCCAGTCTTGTGTTTTCACAAGAAAACTTGTCCAGAGAGTGCAGAGGAGTTGTCAAGTTCCAAAACAAGCATACCTGCTCCAATTTCCCTAGAGTCAGACCTGCCCTTGAAAATTCCTTAGGACAATGCCCTGTCAGAGGCTGCCCCATTTTTGCTGGGTAAGTCTTAGGGCCAGGTGTTCCGCCAGCATTAGTACAGATCATGGCTTCTTTGGTTAAGCACCAAAAGAACTAGTCAGATTGTGTCTTTAGACAGCTCTGTCATACTTCCTGCGGTGAGAAGCTCATGCCACGAGGAGCACTCTGAAACAGTGCCAACTGAGGAACAAAAAACTGCACACCTCCCATTGCACGCACACGTCAGGGTTCTGTGTGACTTGGCTTTTTTTTTTCTCTTGTTCTCCCTCTCCCCCCAACCCCACTACCTTACCAAGCTCACTTTGTTGAATCCACAGAAGTTAAATCTACAGGTGCAATTTCACTGTGCTTTTTTCATTCATTCAGCTAAGAAGCTGCCATGCATTTATTACATACCAAGGATGAGTGAGGTGCTGGGAGGACAGGTGTGAAAGGACAGTCTGTGCTTTCCTTCTTGGCACGTGCACACTTAGATATAGCACTGGATTTACCCTCCTGGTGATCTTCCAGAAAAGAAGAAATAGTATATTTGACACTTTTTTTTTTTTTTTTTTTTTTGCAGTGCTGGGTTTGAACTCAGGGCTTCACACTTGCTAGCGAGGCCTTCTACCACTTGGGCCACTCTACCAGCCTATTTGATGATTTTTGTTTGTTTAAAATCAGGGGCATGAGCTTGATAAGAAGGTGCTCTGCCACTTGAGTCATGCCCTCAGCCTTTTTTTATTTTAGTTACTTTTTGCATAAGGTCTTGTGCTTTTGCCAGGGACCCTAGACAGGAGGATTGCTAGCATCCTACCCACACCTTCCAAGCTGGAATCATCACTCCCAGTTTGTTGAGATGGGGCCTTGTTAACTTTTTGCCCAGGCTATCCTTGAACCCCAGTTTTCCCTATTGCCACCTCCTGTGTAGCTGAGAATACTGATAGGAGCGCCTTTGAGGTGAGGCTGTTGTAAAGCAGAGATTGTCATAATTGGCTGAGAGAGTGATGCTCAGGGAAGACAGTACCTGAAAGCAGACCTCTGCTCCCTTAAATGCCTATTTTGGAGGTCATCTCTCTGAAAAGCTGCAGAGGCTTAATACAGATTTTACCAAGGAAGTATTTTGAGGAAGAACCAAAAATTCTAAGTTCTGGGTTTTCTTGTTAGCAAGGATTTTTAAAAATCATTTTAAAAAAGCAAGGCACCAAATGGTTGCTTTGTAGATGTGAATAACTTAGTAGGTAAATGAAAAAAAAAAAAAACCCATGTACTCTAATGCTACTTGATTATACTTAAAGCATGGGATAACATTTCCAGTGTTGTCTCATTCAAAATTCAAGTATGGCACTGCAGACAGCTGAGGCTGCAAGATGCATGAAGAGTGGCATAAAGCCATGGTCCCAATTATCATCTTAAATGGTAGATGACTTAAAATATCTGAATATAACCAAATATTGTAAATAGGTGTTTGATTATATCAAATGATGTTTGGGTGGCTACAAACTTCTTTTTAAAATATTTATTTATTGGCTTTTGATTGGGGAAGATGCAGAGCTAACTTAATTTGTGCATATTTGGTTATGTAGTAGAGACCTGACTTTACAATAAAAGTCAATTACAATAAGAAGCACTAAGGCACTGCTGTAGGGGGAGAGCAAGGGAGATTTCCAGAAGAGGGGAAGAGAATGGGTACAAATAACCCAGGAGTCAGGGCAGACTTCCTGGAGGAAGCAACACCTGAAGGGCAGATAGGAACTAGCCAGGTGAAGTACAGGGAGAAAGTTGTGAACTGGACCTCAGGGTTGAGCCAAGCTCAGAAAACTGCAAATATCACATAGAGCCCAGAGGTAGACAGTAAGACAAGGAGGGCAGCTTTGGGCCTAGAGGTCAAAAAGGAAGAACTGAAGGAGTGCTTTGCTAAATTTCCGTTTGATGCTGGGATCAAAGTGGTGGCTCTGTTGAGGGGTTTAAGCAGGGGAGTGAGGAATTGTGAATTGTGAATTGTCTGCTGCAGAGAAAAGAAAGGCTGGAGAGGCTCTTGCCTGATAAAACAGGCTAAATGGTGGGCTGGACACCCTGAGACCTGGCATTCAGAATGCTTACTCTCCTTGCCTCTTTACAGGTGTGGACACTGCCAGCGGCTGCAGCCAACTTGGAATGACCTGGGAGACAAATACAACAGCATGGAGGATGCCAAGGTCTATGTGGCTAAAGTGGACTGCACGGTCAACTCGGATGTGTGTTCTGCCCAGGGCGTGCGGGGATACCCCACGTAAGTGGAAGGAAGGCTCCACGGTTCCAGATTGTGCTAGGGCTTCCACATCTGTGTGCCTGCCACCTGCAGCCAAGGGCAGTCCAAGCTGAACTTTGGTAACTTCCTTTGTAGATATGAGGAGCTGCTGAATTTAGGCTGGCAGCCCCTGCTGTTAGAGAATGACTACATTTAATGCTGTGTCTAGTTTAGATGCCTTTTGTACTTTGTTTGAAAAAGGTCTTTAATTAACCAGTGTAGGTTTTCCTGTTCATGAGGAATGTATTTGTGGGACAGTAGTGGGGATCTGCCTGAGATCCTACCCTATGTGCTGTTCACCAGCAATTTTACACAGTATGCACACTGTTACCCATTTTGGCTAGAATTTTTGGTGACTCTATTATACTTAAGCATTTTCCTAAATTATATTCCATGTGACTAGCACAAGGGCTGTTTCTGTTGGAAAGAAGGTTTAACGAACCAGAGTATACCAGTTCTGACCATCTATGCTACTCACTCCCTTGACATTTATGAGTGTTTGGGTTTTATGAAACAGAATGTAAGTGGCTGCTATGGTTTGGACAAATGTCACCCAAAGACCCATGTGTAAAGGCTTAGTCCCCAGCCCATGGCAGACTGGGAGGTGGCAGAACTTTTAGAAGTGTGACCTACTACAAGGAACTTAGGTCACTGGGGATGTTCCCTTAAAGGGGATATTGGGACCTGGTCACCATGGGGTGAGCAGCTTTGCTCCACTATGTGCTTCCTGCAGTGTTCACATTGGCAGCACGTACACTAAAATTGGAACAATACGGTGAAGATTATCCTGTTCCCTGTACAAGGATGACACACAAATTCACGAAGCATTCCATATTTAAAAACAAAAAAATGTGGGCTGGCACAGTGGCTCAATTGATAAAGCATCTGTCTGCCTAGCAAGCATGAGGCCCTGAGTTCTAATTTAATCCCAATACCACCAAAAAAAAAAAAACCAGACCCAAAGGTAATGAGTCCCAGCAAGCTATGGACTGAAACCTACAAAACTGTGAACCAAAATGAACCTCTCTTTACAAGCTGTTTCAGTAACAAAAAGTAGACTAACACACTGACTTATTAAAAGGGGATAGCTTAGTCCATTTTCTGTTGCTGAAACAATAATACAGTTGTGTGGAAAATAGCCAACAGTGCTGGAAGTCCCAGATCAGTGGGCTCCATGTGTTGAGGGCCTTCTTGCTGAGGTAGCACAGGACATTCATGGAGAAACAAAATCAACTTCCTTACTTGGGGTCTCTTCTTCTTTGTGTAAGGCCACTAATGCAGTCATGGGGGCCCTACCACCATGACATCATCTAATCCTTATTCCCTCCTTTGTTTTCTGGCAGTGAGATTTGAACTCAGAGCTTCTTGCTTGGTAGCCTGGACCATTATCCTCCTATTTTTGTTTCCCACCATAGCTGGAATGATAGGCATGCACCACCACGCTCAGCTTTTTTTCTGTTAAGATAGGGTCTTGCAAACTTTTTGTCCTGACTGGCCTCAAACCGTGATCCTCCTGATCTTAGCCTCCAAAGTAGCTAGGATGTGAGCCACTACATTCCCTCTTAAAGGTCCTAGCTGGTCCCACCTCACAATACCTCATAATTGGTGGGGGGGGGGGAGTTAGGGTATGGCTCAAGTGGTAGAGCACTTATCTTGCAATTGGAAGGCCCCAATATCTCCAAAAACCAAAACACAACAAGTACAACAAAAATACCTTCCAATGAGCATTAAATTTTATGATGAGTTTGGGTAGGGACATTCAAATCATGACAGAGGATGGATTAAAAGGGTGTGGGGGAAGCCCTAAGACTCAGCCCTAGGCACTCAAAGGCTTTCTACTGCACTTGCCTTGTGGTGATTAAACAGCTTCTCAAGTTCAGTCTCTGTTCTCGTGGAAAGACTGTTGCTCATGACTGATGAGCTCTGCTTGGTGGAAAGTTCCTTGCATTGTTGGGGGAGGCAGGATGTCATAGAAAACAGTGTCCCCATTCAGACCCTGTGGCAAATGTTGGGGAAAAAAGCAGTGCACAAAAGAGGGAAGATGCTGTTTTCATAGGAGGGGAAGAGTTGGCCACAGCAGCTCCCTAAATGCTTGTCACAGCTGAGAAAAGTCAGTTCTGTGTAGTTCATTACTTAACTGAATAATATACGGGCCAATGATTAAATATAAAATCAGAGCTCAGCTTCATGATGAGAGAGCATGGAAAAGTGGGATTGAAGGTGGAGGCCACTGTGGAATCCCACCTCTCCCACTTAAAAACCACGCAGCTCTGGCCATGTCCTTTAAACCCTGAGTCTGAGTAAGGTGAGGATGTCACCCATCTCACCCTCCTGTCAACATGGGAGTCAGTAACGTGTGCGAACACTGATCTGAGTACACCAGTCACTATTAGATTGTCTCATATGTTTAGGAACATATGAGACATTTCCATAATGGACTCTGAAATTCTCAGTCTTTGGTGGCTGCTTGCTAGTCTAAGTGCAAGAACCCCAGCTAACATCAAATCAGATCAGTAGAAACTGTCATACTCTGTGTACCTAGCTAGAGGCACTCACTGCCCTGGGCTTCATACACTGCCTTTAAAGTGACTGCTTAGATCAGCAGTATCTTAGAGGAGCTGCTAGGAGTAGTTGGAGGAGGGAGAGGAGGCAAATGCTAAGCTGGCAAGGGCCCGTTACTTCCAAGAGGCAGGAGCAGCAGAGATGGATTGGCTGTGGCCTCTGTCCACTTTTGTACTTCTGACTGCATGAAACATGCCACAGGGAGGTGAAACTGGAGCCATAATGGGGCTGACTAAGAAGGGTATGTATCATGGGGCTTCAGAGAGGGAGTGGACAAGGTTCCATATAGACGTGATCATTGGTTGCTATCTGCACCAATCAGTCACTCCATAGATGACATTCACACTCTTAAAAAAACCCATGTTGGATCATGTGTCCTGGCACTGGTTTTGTGTTGTTAAAAGAATGAAAATGAGCTTCACTACAGCATATGTGGTCTGGAGCCAGGAATCCCTGTGACCATCAGAGACCTGCAGATATGCCTAAGAACAGTTTCTTTTGTTGTTTTTTGAACATAATGCAGGAGGCAGAGTGTTATGTACTGCATGTAATTGCATTGAGGTGTTCATACATTTACCTGTGTGAACTTTTTTTCCTTTAAAACAGTACCTATCTTGGATTGGTTGTGTGGCTCAAGTAGTAAGAGTACCTGCCTAGTAAGCACAAAACCCGTGTTCAAGCCTCAGTACTGCCCCCAAAAATAAAAATAAATAAATAAATGGTACCCATCTCATAGAGTTGTGGGAAGACTGGATCAGGTGTTGAATGTAAATGCCTGAACTCAAGCTGTGTGTCAGTATGTGAGCTTTTGTGATATTCTTCTTTTGGCACTTTTAACTAGGGTAAAAGATTGGAAAGGGAGAGAGTTTGGGCGCTCATAGCCCCTATACTCAAGAAAATGTTTCGAGGGCCTCTCGTTGAGTCTGGAAAGAATCATTTGTGTGGGACTCTCTGAGCAGGGATGTACTAAAGAAGGGATATCATCTGTAGTAGTCTCCCATGACTGCTATATGAAAGAACCACATAGCTGGGTGACTAGAACAACAGAATGTATTGTCACACAGTTCTGGAGGTTGGAATACCCAAATCAGGTTGTTGACACATTCCCTCTGAATCCTGTAGGGGACTCCCTTTTTGCCTCTTCTTAGCTTGTTGGTGTGTTAGCTTTCTGTTACTGTCACAAAATACCTGAGATAATAAACTTAAAAAGAGGTAAGATTTACTTTTGGAGGTTTCGGTCCATGGTTAGTTGGCTGTGTTGCTTTTAGGCCTATGGTAAGACAGCATATCATGGCAAGAGTGTGATAGAGCAAATTGCTTACCTCATGGCAGTCAGAAAGTAAAGAAATGGGAAGAGGCCAGGGTCCCACAGTTGCTTCCATGGGCACATTCCCAATAACCTAAGACTGCTCGTAGGCCCTGTCTCTTAAAATTTCTACCAACTCCCAATAGCACCATACTGGAGAACATGCCATTAGCACATGGGCTTTTGGGGGGCATTCCAGGTCCACACTATAGTATCTAGCAATCTTTTGCATCCCTTGGCTTGTATGTTGCATCGCTCCATCCCTCCATCTTCACATGGCCTTCTCCTGTGTACATGTCTCTATCCTGATTACTCCTTCTTATAAGGACATAGCCATATTGAATTAGGTCCTGCTGAAATGGCCTCATTTTAATTCAGTCACTTCTGAAAAGATCCTGTTTCTAAATAAGGTCACATTCTGAGGTTGGAGGTTAGAATAGCAACAGCTCTGTTTTGGAGGACACAGTTCAATTCCCAGTACTGTCTATAGTAGTAGAATTTTATCACAGTTTTCTAGGGTGTTCTCCCCTACAGTCTCTTTGAAGGAGGCATAAATGCATGTGGAGTTTTGGTAATAGTAAAATTTTGGACCATACTTGGGCTTATAACCCTGCACTCAGTCTCCATCACATCCATCTGTGGTGAGGATTGAATTTAGATGCCCCAGACCATGTGGAGGTTTTGCAATGGAGGCTCAGATTCTCCCCAGGGCTCTTTGCACTTACTAAGGAAAAAAAATCTCAGGTTTGATCAGGTCAGAAAGATTTTCTTTTTCTTTTTTCTTTTTTGGCAGTACTGGGGTTTGAACTCGGGGCCTCACACTTGCTAGGCAGGCACTCTACCACTTGAGCCACTCTGCCAGCCCAAGACATATTTTCAATACAAGAAGAGCCTTTTTAAAAAATTGTTTATTTAATTCATTTAATTTTGCTCAATATGTACCACATTAGAAAAATCATATGCTAGATCTGACTATATTTTAACTTTAGTAAAGAAATGAGAAATGAATCTGATAATCCCTGGTACTTTTTGACCACCTTTTTCCCACCCTGAAGCTCTTTGGTGGTGATAAGCACTCAGAACAGGGAGAAGGAAGGTGGAGAAGGACAGTAAGCAGCATCCCTGTCTGTATGGCCTTAACTCACCTTGCCAGAGCTGCTGGTGGCTCAGTGGTGGGTGAAGGCCAACATAATTGTTACAACATACTTTGGGTTGCTTATAAGGTTGGATTTCAGGTGATCTTCATTGGAGGCATGTGTATTGGCCAACACAGTTAGATTTCTGCTTTTCCTTGTGGTTGTTGAAGTGCAGAGGTCCCTGATTTAATGACTTGGGATTTTCCAGCTTTATGATGGGGAGCATCCTGTGTGATGATTTTGAATAGATGAATACCACTTTCAGTACTGTGTACATTCAGTAAGCTACTGACTGTTTAAAACATGAGATAAGATCACCTTTGTGTTAGGTGATTTTTGCCAAACTGTAAGGTAATGGAAGTGTTCTGAGTGTGTTTAAGGCAGGCTAGGCTAAAGCTGTGATGTTTGGTAAGTGAGGTTATTGAATGCACTCTCAACTTACGGTGTTTTTGGCTTGTGGTGGTTTCTTAGGACAGAACCCAGTGTAAGTTGAGCATTGTGTGAGCTACTGAGGAAGCTGAGTTCATTGGAGGGACATTAAGGACCTTACCTGAGCCCCATCACATGAGCTTAGGCTCTCTAGTAGGCCAGTGTGTCCAAATGCCTAAATCTAGCTAATGTGCTGCTTTTCTTGTGAGGCTTCATTTTAAGGCTTTCATTTTAAGGAGGAGTTAGCTATTTTTTATTTTTCTTTAAATGTGTCCTTAAAAATTCATATGTTGAAATCCTAACTCCCAATATGGTGGTATTAGTACGGGCTTTTGGGAGGTAATGAGGTCATTTATTAGGCAGAGCTTTCATGCATGAGAGTAGTACCCTTATTAAAAAGGTCCCAAAGAACTGTCTTGCCTTTCCTGCTATGTGAGGACAAAGGGAGAAGGTGCTATCAACAACCCAGAAAGTTCTCGCAGATGCTGAATCCATCAGCATCTTGAACTTGGACTTTTGACCTCCAGAACTGTGAGAAATACATTTATGTTGTTTATAAGTCTCACAGTCTGTGGTGTTCTGTTCTAGTCCGAACTACTTATGACACTGTTCCACACCTATGGATCTCATTTCTGCATTGATTTCCAAATCTGATTCTGTACATTGTGCACTGACTACAAAATCCATATCCATGTCTGCAAGTGTGAAGGGTATCTTAGATTTCCTATTTCTTCTGACAGTACCCACTTTCCCCTCATCCTTGTTATCTGTGAAGTTCTGGGCGATCCAGGACCAGGAAGTGCTAATGCCATGTTCTGGTAATACCTTTCGCTTGCCATTAAAGAAACTGCTCTCACATCCGCTCTGCAGAGGCTAACATGTATAGAAAGGGAAAAGATACCTGCTTTATCAGAAAGTGAGTGAGTAGCCTATATCAACCAGTGTCCAGAGTGTCCTAATGGTTGGAGACTTGAATTCTGACAGTAACTCAACATCCGAGCTCTGCAAGAGTCTGATATCTGCAAAAGTAGCCTAATACATTATTGCAGAACAGTGCTGTCTTCTCCATGCTGATTAGACCTACTTACACACAACAACAGAAGAAGGTGAACTCTCACATGCTGTCCAATGAATAACAGTTCCTCACCGGGAAAAGACGATGCATACCTAAGAGAGAAAGGCTTGAGAGTACTCACAAGCACAGCCTGGGGCTGGGAAGATTTCACCTTAGTTTTGTTTTATTTGAGGAAAGTTGAGGATTACATGACTGTGTTATTTCTTGGAACATTGTTTTTGTTTACCTTTCAAGTTTTATAAGAGAGGTGCCTGGCTGTGACTTGTGGGCAGCTCATTTTCTGCTTGGTTCACTAAATGAGTTTGCTCCCTGACAACAACATGCTCTCAACTCAGAACAGTTCAAAGTGCTTTAAACTTCTGCTCTTCCTAATCTGCTCTTATTCTTTCAGCCTAAAGTTTTTTAAGCCCGGCCAAGAACCAGTGAAGTACCAAGGTCCGCGGACTTCCAGGCACTGGAAAACTGGATGCTGCAGACTCTGAATGAAGAGCCGGCTGTGAGTGCCCTGCCTCCCTCCCTTTGTTCCTTCCTACATTTGGGGGTAATATGTAACTGGGCAGAGGCCAGATGAGGTGAGTAATCAAGGATGCCATTTGAAAACAACTCTTTGCTTTTTTAGAACTCATTGATAGTATAAGATTAACTTAAAACAAGTTTTAAATGGAAATATTTAAACATACACAAAACTAGAAGAAAATCCTAGCTTCAATAGTTGTCACCTGTTAGTCAACCATGTTTGTCTCCTCTGCCTCCCACCTTGCCCTGCATATAAATATTTCAGTACACAGTCTTACAGATAAAACTTTTGATGTTGCAACTTTCACATGAAATCCACTATTGTACTCTCACATGAAATCTAAAGAATAACATTTCTTTAGCATCAGACTGACTGTGACCATCTGGGATCAGAACGAGGTCTAGGCCAGATAATGCAGTCCAGACCAGCACTTCCTCCCAACTCTCTGCCAGGACCTTTGGCCCTTCACCACCTGTAGCCCCTTGGCTTGGTCTTAATCCCACCAGATTTACCCATAGTGTGGTTCTTTTCTTTTCTTCTTAATCCTTAGCCCCTCAGGTCCTAATTGGCTTTGCTAATAATATAATTTAGTGCCCTCAACAAATGCTTTTAGAGTCTTCACATAGCTCCCTGTTACTTAGGAAAATGTCCATCCTTCCCCTGTCTAGCTTCATTGAAAGCCTTGATTTTGCCAGAAATCCTTATACTCATAAGCCATTCTTTAAGTGTCCCTATGAGTGTGAGTGTGGTGCTTTCTGATAAATGCTGAGGCCCACAGAGGTGGGATTGGACTTTGATGGTTCATGCCATGTATCCCTGTGCCTGGAAAATGGCCAGCATTCCCTTGTAGCCCACCTCCGATGAAATATCAAGAGCATCTAAGGTTCTTGTGTGTGATTCACTGTCAACAGTTAAGATTGCTTTCTTGTGTCAGGGAGACATCTACTGATTTGAAGGTGATCTGTGGCCACATTGCAATCCCCACAGTGATTTTGTAGCCCTGCTTGTTGGTGTTATTTCCCAGCGTCTGTGTGTGGTTCTTCAACTCTGTCCTATATTCTCTGTAGATGTCACAACTAATGAGAAACTCAGCTGCTTCTTTAGTGCTATTATACCTCATGTTTAAAAACTCTGTACTGATGAATGTTAGTGTGTGGTATCAAATAAGGTTGACCAGAGACTTAGCTTATTTTAGTTAATGGGGAAAAACCCTGAGCCTCTCAGAGAATGAATTTGCATCTTTGTCATGGTGGGAAAGCAGGCTACCAGGTGTAACTTTCATACAGGTATAAAGTTTACATTGCTTCCTCTATGAAAATGTTTTCTTTTGGGAGGGGGTTGGTATCAGATGGGAAGAGACCAGTTTTAAAGAGAAATAGCCTCAAAAAAAACCCTTTTAAAGTAAATGTTGTACCAAGAAAGCCCATCTTCTATGATGGTTTTAGGTAGCAGCATGGCAGGGTGGTAGAAAGATTTCATTTTCTCCCAAGGGGAAGTGGTACCCTTGAGTGCAAGCTAGGGAGGAGAAGGGTGCAGTCTGGGCTCAGCATAGAGTCATTTCTATCTGCTCACTGTAGGGAGGTGACTACATGGAATTCATCCCTTGCCACCCCAGAACCACTGTTACTTAAGCTCCATGTTTTAGGGTCTCTGAACCATAGGAATCTCAAATAACTGCCACAATGTAGGGATCTCAGATAACTGCTACAGTGATATTAACAGTGTTCTCTACTGTGGAAAAGTTGAAATATGCAAATTTTGTATAGGCTGAGTAGTCTTTATCCAAAATGGCTGGGGCCAAAAGTGTTTTAAATTTTTTTTCTGATTTTAGAATATTTGCATATACATGATGAGATATCCTGGGGATGGAGGCCAAGTCTAAACGTGAAATTCATTTATGCTATGTAGAGCTTTTATATATAGCCCAAATTTCATTTTTTGCACAATATTTTTAGTATGCCTGTTTTGTTGTTGTTGTTGTTTTTAATTTCAACTCATCACATGAGGTCAGGTGTGGAATTTTCCACTGTGGCATCATGCTGGGAGTCAAAATGTTTCAGATTTTGGAGCACTTTGAATTCTGTGTTTTTGGATTAGGGATGTTCAAAACCTGTAATGTAAACCAGAAATTCTTTGCAATTTGAACTTAGCTTTTTTCCTTTTTTGCAGTGTTAGGGATCAAATCCAGGGCCTCACACATGCTAGGCAGCTTCTCTACCACTGAGCTTGAACTAGCCAGCCCTTGAGCTTAACTTCTTTAATTCATAGCAACTTTATTTGTGGTAGCCAAAATTTGGAAACACACAGATGTCTTTAAAGTGATGAATCATTAAACAACTGATGCATCTATATTATGGAATATTCCTTTGCAATAAAAAACACACATAAACCTTGAAAATCTCTAGGGAATTAGGCCAAGTGAAAACAGCCAATTTAAAAAGGTCACATAGTGTGTGTTCCATTTCCATAGCATTCCTGGATGCAAAATTCTAGAAATGGAGAAGAGAAGTTGGCAGAGAGATGGGAACAGTGGGGGAGAGTATCACAGGTGATTATAAAAGAATAGTAGGAATTTTGTGGTGGTGAAATTGAACTTAGATTTTTAAGTGAAAATGTTTTAAAAAGTTCTTCATCTACATTGATAACCAAATAACAATGTAAACATTTTTATATTCATGAAGAAAAAATTTACATTTTTCCCCTTACTGTTACTGCAGTATTAAAGAAACTCAAAAGAAAAGAAATTTGCCATCTTTTACATTCTTCTCTAATTTTTATTTTTCCATATTTTCTTACCTACTTTTTTCTTAAAAAGTTATAATCATAAATATTTTATTATGTTCATGACATTTTATGTTATTGTACCATGTGGAGTTACCATAATTTGACTTTTGTTTGAGGATATTTAGGGTTACTTGTAATTTTTCTGTCATCAGCATTGCTGTTTATTTTTGTAAGGAACTTTTTGTTCTTTCTTTTTAGTGATTGTTTTAGAATATATTCCCCAACATAAAGTTGCAAAGCCAAAAAAATTTTTTGAAAAGATGTGTAAGAGTCATGTCGGCTTCTCCTGTCACCAGGAGAGTGACACTGTTTGTCACTCATCTGATGCGTTTGGTGTAGTGTTCCTTCCCTTTCTATGTCCTGGAAAAGTGTGAGGAGTATTGGTGTTAGTTCTTCTTTAAAGGTTTGATAAAATTTGGCCATGAATCTATCAGGTCCTGGGCTCTTCTTTGTAGGGAGACTCTTTATTACTGCTTCAGTGTCATTGCGTGTAATAGGACTATTTAGGTGTTTAATATCTTCTTGGTTCAATTTTGGTTGGTTATATGCATCTAGGAATTCATCCATTTTATCTAGAGTTTCCAGTTTACCTGAATATAAGTTTTCAAAGTACTCTCTAATGATCCTCTGGATTTTGTTAGTATTTGTGGTTGTTCCTCTTTTTCTTCTCCGATTTTATTAATTTGGGTCTTTCCCCTCTTCTGTTTTTGTCATGTTAGCTAAGGGTTTGTTGATCTTGTTAATCTTTTCACAGAATCAACTTTTTGTTTCATTGGTTCTTTGTATAGTTTTTTTTGGGGGGGGGGCGTCGATCTCATCCCTGATCTTTATTATTTCTCTCCATATGCTGGTTTGGGGTTTGGCTTGCTCTTGTCTTTCTACAAGCTCAAGGTTCATCATTAGGATGTTTATTTGAGAGGTCTCTTTTTTTAATGTAGGCACTTACAGGTATAAATTTTCCCCCAGAATGTCCTTTGCTGTGTCCCACAAATTCTGGTAGGTCATATTTCCATTTTCATTGAATTCTGGGAAATTTTTTATTTCTTCCCTTATTTCTTCAGTCACCTACTGGTTTTTTAGCAGTGTGTTCAGTCTCCATGTGTTTGCATATTTTCTGTGGTTTCTTTGTTGTTGAGGTCTAGTTTTATTCTGTTGTGATATGGTATAATGCAGGTGGCTATTTCAATTTTTCTTGAATTTGTTGAGATTTGCTTTGTGTCCTAAAATATCTATTTTGGAGAAAGTTCCATGAGCTGCAGAGAAGAATGTATATTGCCTGGTTGTTGGGTGAGATACTCTATAGGTATCAACCATATCATTTGGTCTAATGTGTGGAGTAACTTATTTTGCCTGGATGACCTATCAGTTGATGACAGTGGGGTATTCATGTCTCTCACTATTGCTGTGTTAGCATTTATCTGTGCTCTTAGGGCCATTAGAGTTTTCTTAATGTGTAGGGGAGCCCCTGTGTTTGGTGCATATATGTTAAGGACTGGTATTTTCTCTTGATGAATTATTCCTTTAATTAGTATGAAGTGCCTTCATTGTCTCTTCTGACTGATTTAGTCTGAAGTCTACTTTGAGAGATATGAGTATAGCTACTCCTGCGTGTTTATGGGGTCCATTTACTTGGAAAACTTTTTTCTACCCTTTGACTCTAAACCAGTACTTAAACCAGTACTTATTTTTTTTTCCAGTGATATGAGTCTCTTGTAAGCAACAAATGATTGGGTCTTGTTTTTTTAATCCAGTTTGCTATTTTGTATCCTTTGATTGGGGCATTGAGGCTATATACATTTAGTATTAATATTGAAAGGTTTCTGTTGTTCTCAGTCATTTTTATTCCCGTTGTTTAGTTTTACCTTTTCCTTTTTTACTGGTCTGTTTGCTCAAAAGGGTTAACAGTGGTGTTCCCAGGATGGTGAGGACTTCTAGGTGTTAAGTCACAGAGCACAGAAGTAACCGTGCTCTATAGGTGTCATAATGAACATTTACTCCTGAAAGCCCTGTGAACATCTGAAGAAGGATGGCAGACAGCATTGTAGTTCATCTGAGTTAAACTCACTGGCTATTCACTATCCTCTTCTTGGTCTTCCATTTGTGTGGGTACTTATCACTTCGAATTTTTTTTTGGAGGAGGTAGTTATTTTATTTTCTAGAGACACGATCTCACTATGTAGTCCAACTGGCCTCAAACCCATGATCCTCCTGTCTCAACCTTTCGAGTTCTGGATTATAGACATGTGCCACCACTTCCAGCTGGCACTCGAATGTTTTGACATGCTAGTGCAGAAAGGAAGACTTCGTAAGCTTTCTAATTATAACTCTGCATGGTTTTGGGCTGTCAGAACTTTACAAGTGTTTTATAAGCCTTAAATGGCTTGACTTGGATAATTTTAAACAAAAATGTGAATTGCCAGGTGAGAATTGAGTAACATACACCATGTGCCTGCAGCAAAACAGGACTCATTGATCTTTTCTTCACTTCTGTTTACTTTGGTTGAAAGCCAGAGATGTATATGGCCGCAAAATCCAAGAGATTTGGAATTGTGTGGTGTTGTGGTGACTGTGTGGTTGCTCACATTGTATCTCCTCAGGAACAATTCTCTTCCTTATTCAGGTTTCCACTTTCTGTGGTTTCAGTTAACTGCAGTCCAAGAATATTAAATGGAAAGTTCAAGAAATAGATAATTCCTAAATCTTAAGTAACTCTTATTACAGTATATTGTTATAACTATTCTATTTTATTACCAGTTATTATTAGTCTCCTACTGTGCCCAATGTATAAATTAAACCATCAGAGGTATGTATTAAAAAAAACATTGTTGGTGTAGGGTTCAGCACTACCCATGATTTCAGTCATCCACTGGAAGTCTTGAACATAATCCCCTACAGATAAAAGGGAATAACTGTATTGGCATCTTTTTAAAAAGCTATTCTCTCAGAGTACATTGTGTGCATGTATGGAATTACCACAATAAATCCCTCATATTATTAATGTATGCTAATTCAAAAATAATTTTTTTTTAAAGTGACAAGCCCTATTCTCCCCACTCTGTGTGCTTCTGTCCTAAACTTAGTCACATGCATTAGATTCTTTCTTATAGTTGGGTACTGGCAGCTCATACCTGTAATCCTAGCTTCTCAGAAGATAGAGAACAGGAGGATCGAGGTTCCAAGGCAGCTCTGCAAATAGTTTGTGAGACCCTATCTCAAAAAAACCCATCTCACAGAAAAGGGCTGGTGGAGTGGCTCAAGGTATAGGCCCTGAGTTCAAACCCCAGTATCACAAAAAAAAAAGTACAGCTCATACAACCCACCCCACAACTTTCTCTGCTCTCATTAACTGGATTTTCCTTTCTATCAGCCTTCTGTGGTTTACCTCTAAAGTTTTTTTCCTGCCATTTGTGTAGATTAAGGGTAACAGGCCCTTGTTTCCTTGATGGTTTCTTTTTCTTAGCCTTCTCCCTTTTCCTGCTTTTGTGTCACTAACCTCTCCAAAATAAGCCCATTAGAAATTTTACATTGCATACTGTGTGAAGTCTCAGATTACATTCCAAGAAGAAGACAAGGTTTGGGTGGGACTGTCCTTCATCTTGTTTGCTTCATTTGGTTGGGTTTTGGGGTGGGTATAGCTATCTGCGGTTGCCCGGAGCCTCAGTCCTGTAGGGTGCCTATTGCTGAGGTGCCCAGAGTACTTGACAAAGGTGATTCCTGCCCTGACCTCACTTATGGCAGCAGCACTGCTGAGAGGTACAGGTAAACAGGTGAGGGAGGGCATCTGCAGATAGTTCTAGACAGAAACACATTACCTGGAAGGCTTCTCTGTGTCTTGAAGGACAAACCCAGTGACTGTTGTGTTCTTTCTTTCTGTTAGACACTAGAGCCCGAAGTAGAACCACCCAAAGCCCCTGAACTCAAGCAGGGCTTGTATGAGCTCTCAGCCAGCAACTTTGAGCAGCACATTGCACAAGGTAAAGTGGCAAGTCTGGTGGGCCTTTGTGGAAGGGTAATTGTTTCATGAGACAACTGACCATGGCCTGGGCTTTTCCTTCTTGCCAGTCAAGGACTCCACAGGTAGTAGAATTAGTACCCACATTGAGGGTCTCTCCAGCACCTATTAGGATTGTTGTTTAATGCATCTGCTCTTAGACATTATTTCTCCTTTTGTCTCTGCCAGACCTAATGCCAAACTAAAGCCTTAGATGGGGTCCAGGGGAGTTGGAACTCACAAATCATGAACAGGCACTTTTAACGTGTACAGTAGCTGCCCAGAGCACCCTTGGATAAGAAAGTGTTTATTTTAATGTTAATTACATGCTTCATGGAAACAAACATTTTTTTCTACCTGTTTAAATAGAGTTTAGTGGGACTGTTAACACCCTATGAAGAAAATTAGGTATTCTTTTCACTTAAAATAACTTTCTGTAGCACATCTCACTTTTTGGAAATGGTTTCCTAAGTACCAAAACAATCTACCTACAGTATCCAGCATGACCAAGTGTGTCTCTCCTTGTTCACACATGAATGTGTTTCAGAAAAGTTGGCCCAACTATGACTGACTAGAGAGAGTCTGCCATGGAGAGAAATCACCTGAAGTCTGGGTTGCAGACATTGTGAGAAAGGGCTTGTAATTGCCTCTGGCCTTTCATCTTATGCCTGCTGGGAGCCTGACTCCTCTCCACCACACTTAGATTTAAAGTAACTTATGGCAATGTTTCTCCTTTTTATTAGAAGTTATCACTTAACCCACACCAGTGAGACCTCAGCATGTTTCCCCGTGGGAGATTCTCTGTGGGTTCAGAGTGACTTTTGCTCCATGTAGGATGCACTACCCAAATCACCTGGTCAAAGACTGTCTCTCACAAGTCCAGCCCGCCCTGAGCAAGTCCCTACTGAAAGAGGCATCCTGTAGCCCCACATCGTTCTGCTGTACTATTCATCGAGACTCTTTCCTGCTAGGGCAGCATGGCTTCCTACTCTTTCTGGTTTCTTGTCAGTACTGGGTGGGTTCCTAAAGAGCCTGTCTCCACCTGCAGCCTACCTGTGTGCACATGGTCTCAGCCTTGCAAAGCAGTTGCTCAGTTTTCAAATAGTGTTTCACCATTTCCCTCCAATGCATTGTTGCTATGGTATCAGTCCAGACCACCTTTCAGCATCCATTAATTATTTTCTCCCTGGCCTGATTTCAATCTGATGTAAGCCTGACATAAAAGTAGAAAGCACAGATAGAAAATCTACAATATCCAGATAATGGTGTTGTGAGAGTTTAATTTTTTTCCCTAGCCAGGGTAGTGTATTATTTTTTAAAAAACCTTCCGTCTTATGCCAAAATAAAATAGATAGAATAAAATGGAGAGAAAATGCAGGGCTTAGTGAGTTGTGAAGCAGTCATTCTTTAATCATTTTCCACATCAGGAAATCAAACTTCCAGCTTCTTGTACTGTATCCACATTACAGGTCTCCCTCCCTCCCTTTCTTCTTTGCTGCCCTCACCTCCACCAAGGAATCCTGGCTTCTGTGGAAAGCACTCCTTTCTTTATGGTTTCATCACTCACGTGTGCATTCCTAAGTGCTGTAGTTTAGTTTTTGTTTTGTATATAGTTGCATATAGACTAACTTATCGATGATTCTATATGGACTTTCAGTGACTGCGTCAGGACCTAACCCATTGCAAGTTAAGGAGCATCTGTATGCATCTTTTAAGGACTCTTTTGATCTGCACATTTCCCCTCCTCTCTTTTGTTCTGCTTTCTATGTGCGGAGCATATGTCTGTGGACCTGCAGAATTCCACAATTTGGACTTTACTGATTGAATCCCCATGGTGGGTTTGCACATTTCCCTGATTTCTGCTTTCTGTAAATTGGTGGCCAGATCTGGGCACATAGTCTCAACTCAGTGTTTCTTTGGGGTACAGGAAGACTGACCTCATGGTTGGTGGTGGCACCAAATGTCTGTCTCTGTTCATGATAGGACTATCCTGATGGTCACTGCCTGGATCCACTCACTAGTGTCAGGTGCTGACCTTGAAGCATCCCTTCTTCTTTTTTTTTTAGCAGGAGAAATATACTCTCATTTATCACTTGCTTAGTCATTGTTACAGTTCATGAAAAAGGCAGGATAAATGCCTATCTCACTTTTTTTTACATATTTAGAGTTGGTTTCCTGTTATCCTTCAAAAATGACAAATTTGGTTTTGAGTATCATTGTGAACACAAACACACATGATGGCAAGTCACCCCTTACCATTCAAAGGGTTTAGAACAAACTGAGATTTGCTAAGCAAGAGAGCAAAGATCTGATTCTTGAGTTAAGCCTCTAGTTATGTATGATATAAATTATAGCACCTCTCTCCCCCTTCCTTCTCTGCCTTGGCCCTCCATTGAAGGCAACCACTTTATCAAGTTCTTCGCTCCATGGTGTGGTCATTGCAAAGCTCTGGCCCCGACCTGGGAGCAGCTGGCTCTGGGCCTTGAACATTCCGAAGCTGTCAAGATTGGCAAGGTAAGTGAAAGCCTTTATTAAACTGGAAATAGACTGCTTTGGGCCGGATTAATTAGCGGAGTAGCCCATTATTCATTCCGTGTGCATAGTCGCAAACTTGATTTATTAATTCCATTTAGTGTGCCACTTGACAATTCATTTCACCTTCACAGATGGCAGCCTGGTTTTGAGTTTGCTGGCTTTTCCACAGCCTAGAGATAAATTATGGCCTTGGCTGCTTTGTTTATTTTGAAGAGACAGCCAATTCTGAATTGGCAGCCCCAGAGCCCTTCTGCAAAGATACAGGGTAGAGCCTTGTAGAATGTTCACTGGACGTCCTTGGAGCTCACCCAAGAGCTCTTTCCTAAAGGGCCCTCGGCTGTGTGCTCACATGGACTCATGGCAGACCCACCCTTACCACAAGCCCCAGTTAGCATTGCTGTCTGGGATTTCTTCCAACTGTTCCCACTTTACATAAGGAAGCCAGAAGTGATGTCTAACAACTTCTGTGTAACAGGAATTTCTGGAACTATCCAGAGCAGCTCCTGGGCCATCAAGCACTTTTAATGTCATCCATCCTGTGGTACCTACCAGGCATCCTTCATGGGTTTCCTTTTGTGAAAATCTCATTTCTCTACTTTGTTGTGGGACTCTTTTGTTTACAGAAGTAGCTATGTGTCTAGGTATAACAGTTAACAGGATGATTTACCTAGGACAATGAGATGGTTAAAAGCAATAGCATGGGGGGCTGTATATACCTGACTGGCTGACCAATGCCAGATTACTCCATGCCTTAGTCTGTCCCTTTGCAAAACAGACAAAATCTGCCATGTATAGTTGGGAGGCTGGAAACATACCGCTTAGTGTAAGCCTTGGTGTGGAGCAAAGCTTGGTAAACTGTGATCATTATCACTGTTACTAGATAAATGGATTTTTTACTTTTGCCTGTTGAATACTTTAATAATATGTTATTATATGTTGTGATTATATATATTGAACATTTCTAGAAATAATTATAAAATAATCTTGCCTTCTGTCTTGCCCCATTCTCTGTATTTTAAATTCTTTCATAAGCTTTTCTGAGAGATTGCTTGCTTGTAGCTCATGTCAGTGGAGGCTCCTAGGAGAACCGGGCCTGAGAAACCCTGCCTCAGGCTGGGCCTGCATCTCTGGACATGCTTGGCTGGGTCACTGGGTCCTTGAACATGCCTGTGCCCTCCACAGACCTTGGCTTGAGGCTTCCTGGGCTTCACTTTAACCTTGTAATGGCTCTCACTGTAGTCTTAGGCATAAAATAGTTTTACCCTGCATCATGATAAAGTGAAAACAACTTAGTCCTACTTAACTGATTTTAATGTTGGTAGAAAATCTTTAAAAGAGTTAAATGAAGTCAAAAGCTTGAAGAGCTACAATCATTGGTAAGCTGAGTTTATAGAATTAAGGACAGATTATAATCTTAATTGGACATCTTTTTTTTTTGCAATACTAAGGTTTGAACTCAGGACTTTGCATTTGCTAGGCAGGTGCTCTACCAGCTGAGCCACTTTGCCAGCCCTTTTTGCTTTGGCTATTTTTCAAATAGGGTCTTGCTTTATTTTATGCCCAGCAGGCCTGGACCATGATCCTTCTGTTTATGCTTCCTGCATAGCTAAGATGACAGGTGTGTGCCATTATCCCAATTTGTTTATTGGTTAAGATGGGGTCTCGATGTTTGCCTGCACTGGCCTCTAACTGCCATCTGCCCGATCTCCATCTCCTGAATATTTAGGATTACAGGTGTGCACCATCACGTTCGGCTACAGTGTTACCTGTATTATATCGCAAATACTCCTATTAAAATTGACTACTTACTCCCACTTGGTTTTGTGTGTGCACATGTGTGTGTGTTGTGCTGGGGATCAGCCCCAGGGTCTCCTGCATGCTATGCGTGTGCTCTATCATTGAGATACACCCCCAGGCCAGTACCCCTTGATTTGAAACATGACTAAGTAGCTAAGCTGGCATTGGTAGCGGCCCAGGTAAGCATCGTGCTTATGGCATCCTAGCTCATGCACCCTTCCTAGATGTTGGGCTAGACTCCCCAATGCCAGCTGCTAACCTGCTCAGGTCAGAATGTTGCTTCCTAAATACTGGCATTTCCAACTGAGTTAAAATAAATCATGTCTCTAAAGGAAATCTCGCTCACCCTGCTCCATTAGCTCAGGTTTATTCTGGGGCAGCTTCTCGGAAAAGTCTTTCCAAAAAGGCAAAGGTGCTACCCAATCTGAATTTTAAAAAAGCAAACAAAACAACTCGCTTTGTTTTGTTTTTTTTTTCTTTTTTTTAAAGTACGAAGCATCTAGTAGTCACTTTAGCAAGAAGGCAGTGAGGATACTGACCAGGAGCTTTATCGTGCTTTGTTTTTTAGGTCGACTGTACACAGCACTACGGACTTTGCTCTGAAAACCAGGTCCGGGGCTATCCAACCCTGCTCTGGTTCCGAGATGGTAAGAAGGTATGTCTGCATTCAGCCTCTGCAGAGATGGTTCTTCCGTTAGCTGCAGTGGCTTGGTGGGTTCTAGTGGTTTAGCAACAACAGGCCTGGAGGAATACACACAGTGGAGCAGATGTCTTTCTTGTAATGGATAAGATCTGGTAGTTGAGAAAAGCTATCTTTGTTATACTGTCTCGAGATATTTTAGTGGCTCAGGTTTTCATTAGAGTAACACAAATGTACAGCATAGTGCACCTGGGCTCTAGTCATGAACACACACCTTCTGGACCTTAAGTGGGTGTAGTGCTTGCTCTCGGCAATGTCCTACCCCTCCCTCCCTTCTGTGCCTGGCCCACGGTCAGCTTCACAGAATTCTTCCACCCCAGACTCTGTGATGTGTGACTCCCAGGGAGGAAGTCTGTCAACAAAGCCAAGAAGTTTGGCTTATAACCCTCCTTGCCTGCCTAAGTGGGGCGGGAGATGTTGCACAAGGTGTGCAGCCAGGGTTGAGACCCCTGGAGAATCTGGCATGGCCAGTGGGGTTGTGCAGGCAAGTGGTTCAGCACTGACATCTCTGTATGGCCCATATCTTGGACAGGTCGATCAGTACAAGGGAAAGCGTGACTTGGAGTCACTGAAAGACTATGTGGAGTCACAGCTGCAGGGTCCAGAGACGGGAGCCCCAGAGACCATCCAGCCCTCAGAGGCCCCAGTGCTAGCTGCTGAGCCTACAGGCGACAAGGTGAGTGCTTGCCACCATTGATTGGAATGGACAGAGATGGTCCAGGGTTATTCTGCCCAGTCAGTAGGCAGGATGACAGCCATTCTGGTGGTTGGCTACATTTGCCTTTTCAACACAAAATGTTTTCATCTACTTTTACATGCTTTAAAGGGCAAAGGTAAATAGAAGCTTCCCTTTTAAATACCAGGGAGATGTGAGACAAATTTTGGGACAGTATTTAGAGAGTCCTTCCTCTTTGGTCTAGTCATTCTGGGCTATTTGCTGTGAAGTCTTGGCTGCCATCCTGGATCTGTTTCTGTTCACTCCAGAACTAGCCGAGGTCACTTCACTTTGCCCCTGGGAGATTGGTGGCAGAGAGGGCCTGTGCCATGCATGGGATTGAGGGGCTGGAGGCTGCAACATATTTCATTTGTTTAGGCAGCCTCTTAAATACCAAAGTGCTATCTTCATTCATTCATTCAGGTAGTATCAGGTTTCAGATCATTACTTATGCACTGATCAAGCACTTGTTTTATTTTAAGGCACTGTCCTGGGCTGCCAGGAAACAAAAACAAGACCATTTTCCTGCCTCTGATGGTACCAGGTCTATAGGGAAAACAGGATACACACAAGCAGGTGTCACAGGGGCTGTGACAGTATGTGTGCATGGCAGTTGTGCTAGGTAGAGAAGAGGGGTGGCTGCATTGTTTGCAGGACAAAGAGCTCACAAGGTGTATGATGGAGGCACACAGGAGTCAAGTGCAGATGTGAGAATCAACTGATGTGTTCAGGGTGGAGCCAAAGCCAGGGCTGGAGGCAAGGGGGTGGAAACAGGTCAAGAGGTGCATTGTGAGATGCCAGAGAGTGGGAGAGGGTGGAGCTGGAGAACCTGGTTGGCCAGCTAGGTGCTGTGAACTGCGTCCTAAGTTGATGGAGAACACCTGGAGGGTTTAGATATGTAAATTATAGAAACATGACCCACAGCTACAGGCGTGACAGATGGACAACCATCGTACTGAAAGAGATTCCCGAGTGAAAAGTGAGAGTGGGGATAGGAGAAGAGAACATAAGGATCCAGCATTAGTGAGCACAGTTAGTGGGGGCTGGGGGAGGTAAAGGAAAGAGGGTCCAAAGTGGCTCTGATTTTGGCCCAGGTAAGGACCAGAGCAGGAGGAAGGTAGCAAGTTTGGTTTCAGATTTGATTTCCAGGCTGTGCATGTGAGAGTGTTTAGGTAGAAATGTATGGCAGACAGTAAATAGTAGGGTCTGGAACATGGCAAGAAGTCAGCTCTCCATAGAAATCAGTGCTGAAGCCAGTTACTGTGTGTTTCTCCCAGGAGATCAGAATGTAGATTTCCCAGCTGCTCACGCTAAGGACTGTTTGCCAACATATTCCAAAGCAGCATTCAGTCGCCCTCTGTATCCACAGGTTCAGCCAGCCACAGAAGAAGCTAGGTGAAAGAAATTTAAACACACTTTTTTGCTTGTTATTATTTCTTAAATACAATATAACAATTATTTAATGTAATACAATGTATTACATATACATTGCATTAGGAACTCTAATCTAGCAATGATTTAAAGTATATGAGACAATACCTGTGAGTTATTTTTGCAAATACTACACGATTTTACGTAAAGGACCTGAGCAAATGTATGAATGGGAATGGAGGAGGGTTTTCTAGAACCAGTACCCTCTGGATACCAAGGGATGATGCACTTCATAGCATGCCAAGTGCTTACCTGGGACAGTGAGGTCATGGGGGCCAAGGGAAGGGGCTGTGACCCAGCAACCATGAATCCTCAGCATGTACATAACACTACTGCCCAAGAAGCTCCAGTTATTAGGATGAGGAAAAACCAGTAGAGCCACCTGCCCTCCTCCCAGGGTGGAGACAGCAAAGGACCTCCCTGTCCCCATAGCATTCCTTAGTTGGACTCTTATAGGTTGGGGATGGCTTGCATGTTAGTTGAAAGCTGAAATTTTGGTTGAAGAAGTAAACAAATGATCTTGTTGTTATGACCACATATGTTGGAGGAGCATTTGTGTCATGGTGGTTGTAAAGGTCATCCCAAATTGAGTATAATTATATACTGTGGATATTTTCATCACACAACTATTCCTATTTATAAGACAACTTTTCTCCATGAAGCGAGTCTCTCAGTGAATGTGGTGGTGTTTTTCTGGACATAAAGAAAATGGTAGTGTTCCACAATGGCCCTTCTTGGCTTCAGAATCCCTGACAGCAGCCCTGGTACAGTGAACCATACCTTAAATCATCCAGTCTCATTCAGGAGTGGATTGCAGACTCATTTTTGGAGAAACACATAGTCATAATTCTGCAGAGAACTGTCAAGGTAGAATTGCTTTAAAGCAGATTGCTACGGAGCCTTCCCCAGAAATTCTCCAAGTAGAGCTTAGAATATTTTTCACATTTACTTCACATAAATGAATGGAAAGAAGCCATTACCTGTGCTGTTATGACTACGTTCCTTCCATTATGTGGGGAAGATAAAATGCTTACCTGATACATGTGACAGGAGAGTCGAATGGCCAGAGAGAAAAGCAGCATATAAGAAGCCTCACACTACCCAGTGAGTGGCACAGGCTCAGGCATGGACCTTGAGAGTCCACAGCACAGAGTCCTGGAGGATGGGAACAGAAGAGAGGGCTGGGAGGGCTTCCTGGAGTTTTCAGCCGGCCACATCTCCCATAAGACAGCACATATTTGTGCAATGTCCTGTCCCCTCCTCACAGCAGCTCCGGGCTGAGGACCCTGGGACCTTCAGAGGCTGCAGCCTGCTCAGTGTATCACTTGTGGAAGACAACTGTGTGTGATTTTGGAGCATGCAATAGCATTTTCAAGATACTGAGGATTTTTTGCCATGTATTCCTTTAAAGGATATATTTGAACTGTGGCTTTCTCTTTCTTTCCCTGAAGGGCACTGTGCTGGCACTCACTGAAAAGAACTTCGATGACACCATTGCAGAGGGAATAACCTTTATCAAGTTCTATGCTCCATGGTAAGTGGCTACTCAATTAGAAACTGCTCTGTCCCCGTGTGATTACGTCATATCATGCTTTCCAACTGATAGCCAACCCTCCAGATTCATGCTGGACAAATAGCACATAACGGAGGTTATGTTGTAGGAAATAGGAACTGTTACTATTCCCCTGTATGGTAAAGTTCAGTGGCACTCACAATTATTTAGAGAATGAGGTTACTTTAAAGTTCAGTCTGCTTTGGAGAAATAAATGGAGGTGAATTTTGATGGCCCTATGAAACTCAAGTTTTGTGGTACCTGGGTTCTTTTCCAAATAGATTGCTTTGCTTTAAATACACTATGAATATTATGGTGTAGCGCTCTCTCTGCTCCTTGGTTTCTTCACATAATGTTATAGGGAACTCCAGCACTGCTCAGCTTTCTGTTAATAGCATTCAGTGTGTGACCCAGTTACCAGAACCTTCCTGCCACACCAAAGACCAGGGTATGAATGGATTGAGAACAAGATAATCTTATGTGGTGGGAAGATGATAGGTTCTAAGACTTAACTGTGAACCACTATAGCCTTGTGTCCTTTTTGCTCTTGGATCTCAGCTTCTCAGCTGCGCAGTGGGAACGCTTGATCCTCACAAGTTAAACAGTTCCTTCTTTTGAATAAGCAAGTGTGTAGGAGTGTTAGGTCCTTTACCTAAATGTGGGAGGGCAAAATCACGTTTTCTGTCAGCTTGTTTCACTGAAGATGCTCATGAGAAACCTTAATGACAGGAATGCAGTTAGCATGTGTGACACCTATGAGCCATGAAACTTTTATCCTTAAAGAACAGAGACATTTGCAAATAATGTCTTTATAATTATTTTCTCTTTTTTAAAATGTAAAAGCTGTATAGGTAATGGAAAAAGAAGATCATGAAGGGGAGCAGCCCCTAGAGAAGGGAGGGTTAGAAAGAAAAGGGCATAAATTACAGGGAGAAGGGGGCTTGAACCACATTGCTGAGGCGCCAAGGGAGACTTGACACTAAGAACTTTTAAGACCCTCTGCAATTAAATCTAAAATGACTGCGGCATTGAAGAGATTTTTTAGAAATTATGTGGCCTCTGTTTTGTTTCGTGTTGGTCCCCTTCTACATTACGTCCAGCTTGCTCAACTTTCCATATCATAGAAATGGCCTCAAAGTCTAAACTTCGTTTTAGACCAGCTCACTTCTCGCTTCTGTCAGCTTATCAGAAAGTCTACTTTGGACTGACTTTGAATTCCTCGTTTGAGAGGGGGAGGAGGAGTACTATGCAGCCAGTGGCAGAACTTAACGTGTTGTGAGCTTCTAGGCAATTGGTGACTGGCTCATAAAGGAGAAGCGAGGCTTGGCAGTGAAATGGAGGTGATAAGCCAGGACCTCAGCAGGACTGTCACTGTCTTTTCCTAGGTGTGGCCATTGTAAGAATCTGGCTCCTACTTGGGAGGAACTCTCCAAAAAGGACTTCCCTGGTTTGGCAGAGGTCAAGATTGCTGAAGTAGACTGCACAGCTGAGAGGAATATTTGCAGCAAGTACTCGGTGGGTATCGGGTGAAAACAAGGCTGAGACTCTTCAGGAATGGGAGCCCCCCAGTGGGCTGCACTTTGTTATTGTGGACTACTTTGCCTTCATCCTCCCAACAGTGCATAGTCTGTGTCCTTTTGAAAAGCAGAAGGTACTCTTTCAAAGGCAAGGCACTCTTCTCTTTTGCTTTTCTTACTCACCAGATGCATTTCCGTGGGGCGTTTCAGCCACGCTGTCTGAGTCTCAGACTGCAGTACTGGGGCACCAAGCATTGAGGTGCCACTTCCATGGTCCTATCTGTTGGCTGACCACAGCTAGTCTGGAGCTTTCATTGTAAATATCTGAGGGGCTCAGCATCCTAAAGGATGGGAACTAATGAAACTTAAACTGCCAAGGAGACTTGCCATTTACTTTTTTCCTTTTATGTGTGGTGCTGAGGGTGGAACCCAAGGCCAAGCTACATCCCGGCCTGTGTTACTTTCTTTGGAGCCTCTAATGTTTATGACCTCATGAGATTGAGAGTAAATGTTAGTAGAGACATACTTATCATTAATAGACATGAGTTGCTTTTTGTGCCTTGAAATTTTTTAAAGGGGCAAGCTGTAGCTGAGAAGTCTTTGTGGATGTGGCTACAGCTCACTGTGGTCCTCAGAAGAAAGGTGTCCATTGCCTAGACCACACCCCAGACCTTCTGAGTCCCAGTCTGTATTTTTCTTTCCCTGGCAGTACCAAGGTTTGAACTCAGCACCTCACACTTCCTAAGCAGGTACTCTACCCCTCGAGCCACACACCCAGCTCTGTTTTGCTTTAGTTTTTCAGATAGGGTCTTCCGCTTTTTTGCCTGGAGCTGGGTCTGGATCTCAGTTCTCATACTGAGTCCTGCGTAGCTGAGACCGCAGGCATGCACGCACCACCCATGCCCAGTTTCTTTGTGGAGATACTGCTAACTTTTTTTTGCTCCGGCTGGTTTCACACTGCAATCCTTTTAATTGCTGTCTCCCATGTAGCTGGAATTACAGGCACGAACCACCATGCCTGGCCCCCGAATCTACATTTTCACCAGATCCTCAGGTGATCATATACGATTAAAGGTTGAAAGGTTTGACTTTAGGGTCATTTTACCCTAATCTTTAATGTAACTTTGGATTGAAATGTGAACACCTAGCCCCAAGGCTTTGCTTTCTAAACTGTAGTGGTATATACATCTTTAGAAACTAGTCACAGAATTCCAGCCCCAACTGCAGAAGTTTATCTGTTTTTGAGAAACAAATTGTGTATGATTTAAATCACTGGTTTTCAGACTTTTTCCCCCTCTTTTAAAGGTACGAGGCTATCCCACATTGTTGCTTTTCCGAGGAGGTGAAAAAATCAATGAACACAGTGGAGGTAGAGACCTTGACTCCTTACACCACTTTGTTCTACACCAGGCAAAGGATGAACTATAGCAATCCTGGTGGAAGAAGTCACCTGTCCTGCCTGGTCTCCTCTACGCAGCGTATAGGAGTCACATCGTATGGATGTCTGAATATCAAAGGGTGGCTATTCAGAAAGCTGAATGTACCAAACTTGTGGTGTCTTCTATGTGTGTGTTTAAGCCAACACACTACGGATTCTCTAAGTTTCTCTAAGTAAATGTGTAACTCATGGTCACTGTGCAAACTAAATGTTTTCAGTGGCAATCCATCCCTTAACCTTCTCTTGACAAAATTAAATGGTTTCCTTTGAGACTAAAATAGAGTGGAGGAAAATCAAATTGCTGGACTATGTTTGGCTTCTGGGTGATTTTGGCAAAAGCATCATCCAGAAGCATCATTTTGATCTGCCTGAGTTTTCAAAACGTGGTCTGTGGCCACCTTTGATATTCCTTTCAGCCAAAGGTCACAATTGACTTAATAATGTGATCAGGCTATAATTTAGAGGTTTCAAAACAAAAACTCACACCCTCTGGAAGAAACCTTCCTGGCCACTGCTTGGCTTCAGTTTCTGTCAGTAATTCTCTCCTGGAGAGGTTAGCCATAATGAAAGCAGCTGTACTTCTGATGTGCGCTTCAGTATGGCCACACTGAGGCCATCGCCTTCTGTGCATGTTGATCCTTGTTAGATCAGGTGTCGTTCAAAGGATCCTCCTGTTTGTTTCACATGGGGTGAAAGGTTTCATTTGCTCATTATATGAACACAAAGCCCAAGTCTATGTGAACATTAAGCTGTCTTCCCTAGAAAATGGTGAGTCGGCACTACCCTGTCACCTTGTAGAAAAATTCTGGTACTTGCTGCCTGGGATGACAGGACAAGATGGCTTTCCAAGGCCTGGGTACTAGGGACACTGTGTAGCTCCACTCTGGGGCCCCCAATAGATACTGTTTCTCATTCTGTTCCTAAATAGTCCTTTTAGAGAGTCTGCTGTTTGTTGTCTGCCCTGAAGGAGGTCGACCTTCTAATGTATGAACAATGGAATTCATTTGAACTCAAGACCAAAGACTGAATCAGTAGGATAGCTCCAGCCCTGGTGTGAACAGGTGGGGTTCATGCTAAAGTCCTTCTACATCATGCCACTCTGGTTCTTAAACATTGTTAACTGTCACCCTTGAAATAAGCAACTAGAGAGAGGACTAAGCTCAAGACAGGTACCTATTCATAATGACCACTCTGTCCAACACCATTCATCTCCCTCCCAAGTGCAAGGTGATATCTACATTTGGCACAAAGCAACTATGGTAGGACTTTCAAAAACAAGACCACTTCTTTCTGAGGCAGAAGGTAACAGAGCAGTGTCTTGGCCAGCTTCTGCCTTAAAAGAAATCTTTATTAATCACATGTAGTTCACAGATGGTCTTGAAGAAAATCCAGCTTTCTAGAGAAGCCTAGCCATCACAAGTGGCTCCAGCTTTGCATCATGAGTCTTGTATTGAAAGAAAATCAAAGTGGTACAATTTGTTTACACTATTCTTTCTAAATAAACTCTTTAAAAAAAAAAAAAAGGTCTGGTCTTTCCTTAAATGTTACAGAAAATGGATATAAAAGACAATAAATTATAGTTTCTATTTACAAAAAAAAGCTGTAAGTGCAAACAGTTAAAAGATTATAAATGTATTATTTAATCAGTTTAGTATGAAATTGGTTTCCCGTACATGATTGTGAAAAAGACATTTTAAAAAATACTCTAAGATGTAATCTGAGCCTTACTTTCTACAAGAGAAATTGTGATTTTGGTTCATAAACAGCGTGCTCATCTCCAGAAAGCCATCCTTGGAGGCAGGCGCCCTTCCTCCTTGTGGGCGCTAACCTCCAACGTGATAGACTACTGCATGGTAAAAGGTAGAGAACCACATCAATGATATTAGAGCCAACGTTCCTGAAGTTAACGTGCTTTCCAGAGAGCCAATCCAATGAAGAGGTGCAGAGTTGTTCTCAGATGCTACACAGTTAAAGCGAAGGCTACTGAAAATGCTTTGCACCTCTTGCAGTCACACCTTAAAGTGTGGTTAGTCTACTTTTGGTTCCAGCAAAGAATACAGCAAGTGTGGGAGGAGAGAGGTGTGGGTTGTTTTGACTGAAAAACGTACGTTTTCAACACCAACAAAACTCCAGCACAAACACATAACAGCAACAACTGGGATAAAAAGCACCTCTTGGAGCCCTGGTTCCATCTTGGGCTGCTGGTCCTGGGTGAAATTGGCCTTCCTGGGAATGAAATCTATGTATAGAGCCCTCTACCCAGTTTCTGTTATCTGTAGAATCTGCTCTTGATAGATAATGTTGAACCAGCTGATATTTTAGCTAAGATTGCTTATATTCCTTCAAGGTCCTCCCTATTCACCAATACTACAAACAGCTTGATCTAAAGCTAAAACTAATTTAATGGCCCTCTTTTTTTGTGCAGGGAGGGGGGGGTGCTCAAAGTTATGTTTCTGCATTTCTCAGACCTCATTGCAAACGTTCAGACTCGGCTTCCTACAAACCAACTACTCTCACTGTTTATGGAGTGAGCAAATTATTAATGAGGTCCTTTTAAAATCTTCCTTGGGTAGTAAGGCACCAGCAGGAGAGGAGTTCAGTCTTACCACCCCATTTGCACTGTGCTTTATGGTTTTTAAGGCAGATTTAATCAAGGAATCTGAGGCGGAAAGTGTGTCCCAGCAACTGCTTTCAGCTTAATGGCACCCACAAGCTCTTACAACCATATTCCTGTATTTTTTCAAGATGACATTGGAGTTGTCATCAAAGTAAAGAACTGAGATGGCATTTAGTTTAGTTGGTGCACAGCATGGCTTGGGAACATACTCGGGATTCATAAGGTGAACCTGTTCCAAGACAGAAAGGGAAAGGGAACCATTAGAAGTGATACTTGGCCTGAGCTTGATCCAACTTATGTGAAGTCTGAGCACTCACCAAGGTCTGAACAATCGCATGGTTGGTGGCATTCATGTGTGCATTGAGTGGGAAGGAACATTCTCCATCACAGTAATTGGCAGCATAGCCCTTCGGTGCAATGATCCAGTCCTTGTTAAGAAAGCAAAAGAAGCAATAAAAGACCAATTGTCATTCCACCATCTGTGCTCTCAGCAACCTGGTGAAAGAAGCACTCATGGAAACTTAGGAGTCTGAGGCAGGGAGGCTTGATTTGACCAAGTTCTCATTCAAATGGCAAAGCTGAGGGGTGGACTGGTCGGTCTGAATCCAGAGCCCTTGCTCCTTTCATAGGCTCACACGGTTTTAGTCGCTACCTACCTGGTAGGCCTATAACTGTACAGGTGGCCGACTTTATGTACAAATGCTCCCAATAAATGAGTCAAAAACCCATGAATAGCTCACCTAGGCTCTGCATCTAGTCTTAGCACTGTGCATCATGCAGGCTTAGCAGTAGAGTGTCAGCTGTTTCCCCTTGTGATCATGGGGCCCAGCATCTCTAGACCATACTGCTAGCCTATGCAAAGATCCAAATTCAAAATCTGAAGTGTGATTTCTCCTGAGTGCACACTGCTTTTGCACCATTATGAAATTGAAAATTTGCAGGTCAAGCCATTGTTAAGTCAGGGACTGTGTGTACTTAGAAAAGGACCCTCTCCAGTAGCCCAGGGTGCTCCTATCAAAATAATGTCGCCTGCATAAAAAACTATGTACTGATCTGGGGATGTAACTCAGTGGTAGAGCACTTGCAGAGCATGTGAAAGGTCATGAGTTGACACTACACACCCCCCCAACATTGAAAAAAAAAAGAAAAATTATCTTCTATCACTGATAACCTATAGTTGAATTTGATTCTTTTCTTACAAACCAGCAGCTCTTCTGTACTGTTTGGTGGACTACTTTAACTATTTTTTCCATCTGTTTCAAAATACAGATTTGTTTAAGTGCCCAAATAAATATGTGCCCTGTGAGCTCTGAAAGAATAAGGAAAGAGTGTGGGGGATGTGGGCATTGAGTTTGAGGGGTCACAGAGCATGGGAATGCCTTGCAACCCAGGTCTTCTAACCCATCCAACAACCCAAGCATTTGTGAGGGTGCCCAGGACTTCTGCTGATGGAGTCATCTCATCCCTGAAGTGCTGGGTCTTTGATGATGACTGTTGTCACTGAGTTAAGAACTATCCAGAAAGGACCTTTGCTCTCCTTGTCCCAAGAACTCACCTGCCATCCCAGGTCTTGGAAACTCACGTAAAGCTCATGCTTTCTGCAGGCCGTTTTTAATTCACTGCTGTTGTAATCTATTGGAGGAGATCAAAAGATGCCTCATTAGCTCATTCATTCCTTCACTTAAAAGCTTACATGGAGAGTGCCCTATGCTAGCCACTGAACTAGGCTCAGGAGAGTTGTGAACAAGTCCCCTCTTAGACATATGTGATCAACCAACAATTCCACTGGGTTCCCAGTTGTCTGCTTGAACACTTTACATATTTTACTCTGCCCATTCTGAGATCAGGCCTGGGACTCTGTTGACTTGAATGCACACCTTTAAGCAACAGAGGTATGCTGTGCATCCTGCTGAATGCATGGCAGGTGAGCTGAGATGCCCATTGGAGTTAAAAGACATTGTACTGTCATTAGCAGGTGACTGTGCCAGGCACAATTCACTATTTTAAAAACTGACCATCCAGAAGTTACAGAAGAAATGAAGATAGCTGCAAGGTCAGCAGAGTATCCTCAAGGAAGTGCTCTAGAGCAGCACCCAACCAGGAGGTCCAGGAATGGGGCTATGCTCTCTGACTTGGCTCACCATCCTCACAGCCAGGATCGAGCCCTGTTACTTGCACTAAAGCAATGACCGCACCCAGAGGTTCCCTGTGAAGATTGGCCTACGCAATGAAAAACAACTGAAGTTCAAAGAGCCAGGGTGTGGCTTTCATGGTCGAGTGTTTGCCTAACAAGCATAAGAACCTTAGTTCAAACCCCAGTACCACCAAAAATAAAAACCAACATAATCATTGAAGATAGAAATAAAATGGATGAGTTAAACATCAGACTAGATATAACTAAAGAGAGAATTAAAAAGTCAGGCAATACATTTGAAGAAAGCACTTCAAACTGACAACAACCCTCCTTAAACTGTTCCACTAAATAGAAAGGGAAGGAAAACTGCCTAACACATTTTATGAAGCCAGTATTGCACTTATCCCAAAACCAGGCAAAGACACCTCCAAAAAGGAGAACTATAGGCAAATCTCCTTAATGAACATTGATGCAAAAATCCTCAATAAAATAATAGCAAACCGAATTCAACAACACATCAAAAAGATCATTCACCACGACCAAGTAGGCTTCATCCCAGGGATGCAGGGGTGGTTCAACATACGAAAATCAATAAACATAATAAACCACATTAACAGAAGCAAAGACAAAAACCACTTGATCATCTCAATAGGTGCAGAAAAAGCCTTTGATAAGATCCAACACCATTTCATGATAAAAGCTCTAAGAAAAGTAGGAATAGAAGGAAAGTACCTCAATATCATAAAAGCTATATATGACAAACCTACGGCCAGCATTATACTTAACGGAGAAAAACTAAAACCATTCCTTCTAAAATCAGGAACCAGACAAGGATGCCCACTATCTCCACTCCTATTCAACATAGTACTGGAATTCCTAGCCAGAGAAATTAGGCAAGAAGAAGGAATAAAAGGAATACAAATAGGTAAAGAAACTGTCAAAATATCCCTATTTGCAGATGACATGATCCTATACCTTAAAGACCCAAAAAACTCTACTCAGAAGCTCTTTAGACACCATCAATGGCTATAGCAAGGTAGCAGGATATAAAATCAACATAGAAAAATCATTAGCATTTCTATACACTAATAATGAATAAACTGAGAAAGAATATATGAAACCAATTCCATTTACAATAGCCTAAAAAAAAATCAATACCTAGGTGTAATACCAAAAGATGTGAAAGACCGCTACAAGGAAAACTATACACTTCTGAAGAAAGAGATTGAGGAAGACTATAGAAAGTGGAGAGATCTCCCATGCTCATGGATTGGTAGAATCAACATAGTAAAAATGTCGATACTCCCAAAAGTAATCTACATGTTTAATGCAATTCCCATCAAAATTCCAATGACATTCATTAAAGAGATTGAAAAATCTACTGTTACATTTATAGGGAAACACAAGAGGCCACGAATAGCCAAGGCAATACTCAGTCAAAAGAACAATGCAGGAGGTATCACAATACCTGACTTCAAACTATATTACAAAGCAATAACGATAAAAACAGCATGGTACTGGCACAAAAACAGACATGAAGACCAGTGGAACAGAATAGAGGACCCAGATATGAAGCCGCACAACCATAACCAACTTGTCTTTGACAAAGGTGCTAAAAATATACAATGGAGAAAAAGCAGCCTCTTCAACAAAAACTGCTGGGAAAACTGGTTAGCAGTCTACAAAAAACTGAAACTAGATCCATGTTTATCACCCTATACCAGTATTAACTCAAAATGGATCAAGGATCTTAATATCAGACCACAAACTCTAAAGTTGATGCAGGAAAGAGTAGGAAATACTCTGGAGTTAGTAGATATAGGTAAGAACTTTCTCAACGAAACCCCAGCAGCACAGCAACTAAGAGATAGCATAGATAAATGGGACCTCATAAAACTAAAAAGCTCCTGCTCAACAAAAGAAATGGTCTCTAAACTGAAGAGAACACCCTCAGAGTGAGAGAAAATACTTGCCAGCTACACATCAGACAAAGGACTGATAACCAGAATATACAGAGAACTTAAAAAACTAAATTCTCCCAAAATTAATGAACCAATAAAGAAATGGGCAAGTGAACTAAACAGAACTTTCTCAAAAGAAGAAATTCAAATGGCCAAAAAACACATGAAAAAATGCTCACCATCTCTAGCAATAAAGGAAATGCAAATTAAAACCACACTAAGATTCCACCTCACCCCTGTTAGAATAGCCATCATCAGCAACACCACCAACAACAGGTGTTGGCGAGGAAGCGGGGAAAAAGGAACCCTCTTACACTGTTGGTGGGAATGTAGACTAGTACAACCACTCTGGAAAAAAATTGGAGGCTACTTAAAAAGCTAAACATTGATCTACCATTTGATCCAGCAATACCACTCTTGGGGATATACCCACAAGACTGTGACACAGGTTACTCCAGAGGCACCTGCACACCCATGTTTATTGTGGCACTATTCACAGTTAGCCAAGTTATGGAAACAGCCAAGATGCCCCACCACTGACGAATGGATCAAGAAAATGTGGTATTTATACACAATGGAATTTTATGCAGCCATGAAGAAGAACGAAATGTTATCATTCACTGGTAAATGGATGGAATTGGAGAACATCATTCTGAGTGAGGTTAGCCTGGCCCAAAAGACCAAAAATCGTATGTTCTCTCTCATATGTGGACATTAGATCAAGGGCAAACACAACAAGGGGATTGGACTTTGAGCACATGATAAAAGCGAGAGCACACAAGGGAGGGGTGAGGATAGGTAAGACACCTAAAAAATTAGCTAGCATTTGTTGCCCTCAATGCAGAGAAACTAAAGCAGATACCTTAAAAGCAACTGAGGCCAATAGGAAAAGGGGACCAGGAGCTAGAGAAAAGGTTAGATCAAAAAGAATTAACCTAGAAGGTAACGCACATGCACAGGAAAGCAATGTGAGTCAACTCCCTGTATAGCTATCCTTATCTCAACCAGCAAAAACCCTTGTTCCTTCCTATTATTGCTTATACTCTCTCTACAACAAAATTAGAGATAAGGGCAAAATAGTTTCTGCCGGGTATCGAGGGGGTGGGGGGAGAGAGAGAGGGCGGGGGGGGGTAAGGGAGGGTGTGGGGGAAGGGGGGAGAAATGATCCAAACATTGTATGCACATATGAATAAAAAAAAACTAAATTAAAAAAAATGAAGAAAGCACTTCAAATATGGCAAAGAATCAACTGGCCAGAAAACTTAAGGCTGTCTATAAAGAGATAATGAAGACTGAATGAAAAGTTCAACATATTTCTAATATGGATTTCTGAGCACAGTAATATTTGGAGATGTAATGGGTAGGGTTTTTCCAAAACTGAAGAATGGTAAATATTTTTTGTTTGTTTTAATTTTGGCAGTACTGGAGTGAATTCAGGGCTTCATGCTTGCTAAGCAGGTCATCTACCACTTGAGCCATTCCATCAGCCTGGCAAACATTTGTAAATGAAAAGGTACAATGAGTCCTAAGAAGATCAAATAAATTCTTATCTAAATCTGCTAAAATGGTAGCATCTCACTGACACCATGTTTTTTTGTTGTTGATGTTGGTTTTTTGGTGGTACTGGTGTTTGAACTCAGGGCCTCATGCTTGCTAGCCAGGCGCTCTACTACTTAAGCCAGTCCACCAGCAGAAACGGTAGCATCTCAAACAAATTCTCCAAAGTAACCCAATATCAGAAGAAAATTACCTGTAAAGGGAACACAAAATTAACAAAATACACATTTAAAAATTAAGTAATATAAAAATGGCTCTACCAGCCTGGAATTTCATTCTTAACTATAGATGTAGACATTTATTGTTTGATTACCCAGCTTTTAGGTGAATTCCTACAGGGAGAATCAGGGCCCCATTTCCCTAGACAAGCAGCTCCCCACTTTGTCCCCGGGCAGCTGGAGCACAAACTTATGGCTGCATCAAAGCTAATGAAATGTCTTCACCCTGTATTATTTGAGAGAGTGACCCAAAGAGAAATCCACCTTTGGGGCGGTGGGGGGGTGGTTAACTGTTAAAACAGCAGGTGATAAAACCTAACAACCATAAATATTCTTGGGGCAGTTTTTTTCCATAACTAGAAGAAAGTAACCCTGGAGTCCCTCCTAATGAGAAGAGAATCTTTCCCCACACTATGGGTTTTCAGCTCAGCTCTTACCAGGATACTGATTGCCTTTCACCGTACAGCTTTCCATTGCCTTGTGGAACCTGTGTCAGTAGAGAAACCTGACTTTCAGGGTGGCATGGGGCTGGGGGGTGGTGCTGCCAGGTTCCAGGGACACACACACACTGCAGGTGCAAACATCACAGGGCAAGCGCCAGGGCAGTGGAGGCACCTGAGTCCCCTGGCCAGGGCCCAGCCCAGGTCCCCAGGGTTTGGCAGCCTACCTGCTGTGCTTCCCAAGCAGAGGGCTATCTGGGCCACCGTGGGCTGACCCTATAGACTGTATCCAGCAGCAAGACTGTTCCTGCTCAGCACATTG